GCAAGGGATGTCTTTCCATTTTTTGAGATCATCTTCAATTTCCTTTTTCAGTGTATTATAGTTTTCACTGTATAAGTCTTTCACTTCTTTCGTAAGAGTAATTCCTAAATATTTCATTTTTTTGCTTGCTAATGTGAATAGTCCAGTTTCTCTTATTTCCCTCTCTGTAATTTTGTTGTTCGTGTATAGGAATGCTATTGATTTCTGAGTATTGATTTTGTATCCAGCCACATTACTGAATTTATTTATTGTATCTAAGAGTATTTCAATGGAGTTTAGGGGGTCTTCTATGTAGAGTATCATGTCATCTGCAAACAATGATAACTTAACTTCTTCTTTTCCTATCTTTACCCCTTTTATTTCTCTTTCTTGCCTAATTGCTCTGGCTAGTACTTCCAGTACTATATTAAATAGGAGTGGTGATAAAGGACATCCTTGTCTTGTGCCTGATTTTAAAGTAAAGGCTTTCAATTTTTGGCCATTTAGTATGATGCTGGCTGTTGGTTTGTCATAAATGGCCTTTATTATATTGAGGTAAAGACCATCTATTCCAATTTTCTGTAGAGTTTTTATCATGAATAAATGTTGGACCTTATCGAAGGCTTTTTCTGCATCTATAGAAATGATCATGTGATTCTTATTTTTGGCTTTATTGATATGGTGGATTACATTTATTGATTTGCGTATGTTGAACCATCCTTGCATTCCTGGGATGAATCCCACTTGGTCATGGTGTATAATCTTCTTGATGATTTGCTGGATCCTATTTGCCAATATTTTATTGAGGATTTTTGCATCTGTGTTCATTAGGGAGATCGGTCTATAGTTCTCTTTTTTAGTTGGGTCTTTCTCAGGTTTTGGTACTAGAGTAATATTTGCTTCCAGGAACGACTTAGGAAGGATTGCTTCCCTTTCAATTTCATTGAACAGTTTGAGGAGTGTCGGCATTAGGTCTTCTTTGTATTTCTTGTAGAATTCTGCAGTGAATCCATCTGGGCCTGGGCTCTTCTTGGTGGATAAGGACTTAATTACATTTTCAATTTCAGTAACAGAGATTGGGTTATTCAACAGTTTTACATCCTCTTGATCTAGCTTTGGCACTTCATATGCTTCTAAGAATCTGTCTATTTCTTCTGTGTTATCAAACTTTTGAGAGTAGAGGTTTTCGAAGTAGGTGTTGATGATCTTCTGTATTTCTATTGGGTCTGTAGTGATTTATCCTTTTTCATTTCTTATTGCATGAATTTGAGCTTTTTCTTCCCTTTTTTTAATAAGGTTGGCTAGGGGCTTATCGATTTTATTTATTCTTTCAAAGAACCAACTCTTTGATTTGTTGATTCTTTGGATTGTTTTCTTAGTCTCTATTGCATTGATTTCTGCTCTGATTTTTATAATTTCCTCTCTTCTTTTGGCTTTGGGCTTGACTTGCTCTTCTTTTTCTAGCTGTTTGAGGTGTAGCATCAAGTTATTTATTTGTATTCGTTCTGTTTTCCTGATGTGGGAACTCAGTGCAATAAATTTTCCTCTCAGGACGGCTTTCATTGCATCCCACAGGTTCTGGTAAGTTGTATCTGTATTTTCATTTTCTTTTAGGTATTGTTTGATTTCTTCTTTAATTTCCTCTGTGACCCACTGATTACTCAAGAGTGTGTTATTCAGTTTCCATGTGTTTGTGGGATTTTTGCAGTATCTTTTATCATTAATTTCTAATTTCAGAGTGCTATGATCCGATAACATGCAAGGGATTATTTCAGCTCTTTTGCACTTGTTTAAATATGTTCTGTGAGCTAATATATGGTCTATTTTAGAAAATGATCCATGTACTGCTGAGAAGAATGTGTATTCTGATGTTGTTGGGTGGAACATCCTGTATATGTCTATCAAACCCATTTGTTCACAGGTATGATTCAGTTCTGTTATTTCTTTGCTCATTTTCTGTCTGGTTGATCTGTCCCTTGGTGTCAATGGCGTATTAAGGTCTCCTGTTACAATTGTGTTACTGATAATTTGAGTTTTCATTTCTGTTAATAATTGTTTTATATAACTTGGTGCTCTGGAGTTTGGTGCGTATATATTTAAGATAGTTATCTCTTCCTCTTGGAGTTTTCCCCTTACAAGTATGTAGTGACCTTCTTTGTCCTTTATGGTCATTGTTGGTTTAAAGTTCATGTTGTCTGCAAACAGAATGGCTACTCCTGCCTTTTTCTGGATTCCTGCTGCATGAAGAATTGTTTTCCATCCTTTGACTTTCAGTCTGTGAGTATCCTTCTGGGTTAGATGGGTTTCCTGTAAACAGCATATGGTTGGATTTTGTTTCTTGATCCATTCTGCTAGTCTGTTTCTTTTGATTGGTGCATTGAGACCATTTACATTAATGGTTATTACTGTTAAATGCTGGTTAATTGTAGGAATGTTATCTCTCTGCTGTTGCACCTTTATCTTTCTGTTCTGTTTAATTATTTGCTTTGCTTAGTGGTTTTTTCCTTTGTGTATCTAAACTGTCTTTCAATATTTTTTGCAGGGTCGGTTTGGTGTTCATGAAGTTCTTCAGCTGTTCTTTGTCATGGAAGTATCGTATTGCACCATCTATTTTGAATGATAGTTTTGCAGGATATATCAGTCTTGGTTGGAAATCATTTTGCTTTAGGATCTGGAATATTTCACTCCATGCTCTTCTTGACTTTATCGTTTGTGCTGAGAAGTCTGCTGTGATTCTGATAGGTTTTCCTTTATAAGTGATCTGTCTTTTCTCTCTGACAGCTTTTAGTAATCTATTCTTGTGTTGGATTTCTGGGATGGTGATTATTATATGTCTGGGTGTAGTTTTATTTTGGTTATGAGTGTTTGGAGTTCTATATGCTTCACTGATCTTGATGTCAGTTTCTGATCTCATGCTTGGGAAATTTTCAGCTATTACTTCTCTAAATATCCGCTTGACATCCTTTATGTTGTCTCCCTCTCTTTCATTAATCCCTATCATTCTTATGTTATTCTTCTTTGCATCGTCTTGCAGTTGTTGAATTGTTGTTTCCTGATTCCTTGTTATTTTCAAAAGATCTTTCCTTTCCTGTTCACTAGCTGCAATCATGTCTTCAAGGTCTGAAATTCTATCTTCACTTTCATTAAGGCTGTTTTTACAACTTTCAGTGGAGTTTTTTATTTCCTGTATATCTCTGTGTATCTGCATTATGTATTCTGTTTGTTTCTTATATTGCTCGTCTAGGGATTCTATCTTTTTGTTTAGTTCCTCCAATTTTTTATCTGTGTTTTCTTTAGATATATTTAGAATCTCTTTCATTTCTTTTATCATTTCTTCTTTTATCTGGGAGATTATTTCGAGTTTGAATTTCTTTAAAGCTTCCTGGAGTTGTTTGTCAACTTCAGTAGCTATTATGTCCGATATATGAGGTGGATGGGATATATTTTCTTCTATATACATTGCTCCTAGGGTTTCCTGAGATGGGCTGGAGGTTTGAGGTTGTAATTTGGTCTTTCGTTTTGTCATTTTGTATATTTCTGTGTTTCAAGTGTTATTTGAAAGCTTCCTCAGGATCTGTTGAAAATCCCCTTCTATGCTTGGAGCTACTGAGCCTCTGACACCGCACTACCCCAAGCCATTGGGCCTGCAGAACCAGTGTCCCTCCTCTGCCTGCTCAGAACTCCGCAGTTCCAGACAAGCTGGGCCTCAGGGACACTGTGCGCCCACCTGCCCCTTGGAAGATCCACAGCTCTTCAATTGCAGCCGGTTTAGGGTGCTCTCCACAGGCCACAGTGCCTCAGGAGCCTGTGATCCCTCCCTGCTTGCAGAGATATCCACAGTCCTCTAGGCAAAGGAAGGGACTTCTGCAGGCACTCCAGATCCGCCCAGCTCCTCCTCTGCAGGCAGATGGCTAGGCGCGGCTGGGCTCGGGGGTTAGTGTAGGCCCGCCCATCCGTCAGGAGCTCAGCAGACTTCCAAGTGTAGCTGGGGGGGATGGGGAGGCAGCTGTAGTGGCCTCTAACCCACTGCTCCACTTCACTGCACCCAGAAGCCTGGGGGGTCTGGAACAGTCTGAGATTTGGGCAGACTGTGCTGGGCACTCACCACAGGCTGAGGTGCCTCAGGAAGCTGCGATGCCTCCCTGCTTGCAGAAGTATTCAGTCCTTCAGACAAAGGAACGGGCTTCTGCAGGGACTCCGGATCCGCCCAGCTCCTCCTCTGCAGGAGATGGCTAGGTGCGGCTGGGCTCGGGGGTTAGTGTAGGCCCGCCCATCCCTCAGGAGCTCAGCAGACTTCCAAGTGTAGCTGGGGGGGATGGGGAGGCAGCTGTAGTGGCCTCTAACCCACTGTTCCACTTCTCTGCACCCAGAAGCCTGGGGGGGTCTGGAACAGTCTGAGATTTGGGCAGACTGTGCTGGGCACTCACCACAGGCTGAGGTGCCTCAGGAAGCTGCGATGCCTCTCTGCTTGCAGAAGTATTCAGTCCTTCAGACAAAGGAACGGGCTTCTGCAGGGACTCCCCATCTTTCCATTTTCTAATATCTTCTTCCATCTCCTTTTTTGGAGTACTGTAATTTTCAGTGTATAAATAGTTTACTTCTTTTATTGCATTGATCCCTCAGTATTTCATTTCTTTGGATGCTATTATAAAGGGCATTAAGTATACTGAATGTCAAAAAGTGAATGAAACTTAAGCTTCTCTTCCTTCTATCCTTGCTTGCTGGCATCCCATCAGCTTCCTTCAGATCAGAGAGGTCCTTCCCTCCCCTGTGCATGTGTGAATGTCCTCTTTTGTGTAAAGGGTAGCATTTCAGTTCCACTTTTCTGGAAATTTCTCTTTGAAAATATTCATTATAAAATATTTAAGACAAACAGATAGTGCTGAGCAGTGGGTGAATGCAGACTGCTTGGCTGAGAGAGGGCCCTAAAGGGAGAGACAGCTAGAGTCAACCAGCCAGGTGCGGGCTGGGCTGGGCGGCAGGTGGTGTGTCTTTGGAATAGGCCCATCTGGGCTCAAACCATGTACCAGTGTGGCCTCAGTTGGCTGTTTTCCCTTTCTACACCCCCAGCTCCTCCACGGAGGAGGCGTGGAAATAAAGCTGGGCTTTTTCCAGGTCAGGACTGGACAGAACGATGTTGCCAGTGTCCATGTCTTCTTCACTGACCTGGGATCGCCAATGCTCTGCTTCCTTCTCCAGGCTTCATCTGCATCGGGGTCTTTGTAGGCCTCCTGTTCACTAAGTTCTGGCTCTTGACTGTGCTATACGCCTTCTGGTGGTTCCTGGACCGAGACAAGCCGCGGCAGGGGGGCAGGCCCAAAGAGTTCTTCAGGCGCTGGGTCATATGGAAGTACATGAAGGACTATTTCCCGGTCTCGGTGAGTACTGAGCTAGTTTGAGTTGGGCAGAGGGGACCCGGACCTCCACCTCTCTGTGGGACAAGTGGCCATGTATGCAGTGAGCAGAGCACCAGGCTGGGAGACAGGAGCCTGGGCTTCCCTCATCATGTGGCTGGGGTGGGTAGGGATCAGCGTGTCTCTGGCCATGGTTTCCCAACACTAGAATATGGGGCCAATGAGAGGATTTTTTTGTTGCTGTTCTGGGGATCAAACTCACAACCTCAAGCCTGCCAGGCAGGCACTTACGCTGCTGAACTAAATCCCTGGCCAATGAGAGGATTTGAATGAGCTCTGTGGGATGTGTCATGTCCAAGGCATGAACTGTGAAAGCACAAATCCATGAGCAGCCCAGGTTTGGGGTACAGATAATACTCTGCAGGTCTTCAGAGACCATTTACCCTCCTCAGATGAAGAGGCTGAGATGCAGACAGGAACACAGGCGGGGCCAGTGTTACATAGCAAGTTGTCTGGCAAATATTGAAGTCTGTATTTGCACGGCTAAGGGAAGAGGTAACAGAGCCATCAGAGTCTTCAGGTTCTGTCCTGTCCCTCCCTCTGGCTACTGTGTGTCCATGGGCAAGGCCTTGTTCCATTGTGACCTCAGGTTCAGTTTGCAGACATGTCTTCCTACTGTGAGTGCCCTCAGCTCTCTGGCTGTCTGGCCCATCGGACCTCCAGGCCCTGGACTTGAAGGCTGGTTCTGAGTGGATCAGATCTCTAGATTTGACTGAGCAGACTCTTCCACTGAGTCCAGACACACCAGACCCTGATTTGATCTATGCAGCAAAAGCTTTGTTTGTCAGAGGGCATAGGATGGGAAGATCCTGGAGACACAAGAGAGGCCAGGCAGGCACAGCTGGCTCTCCTTTGGAAATAGGACAGAGGAAATGTGACCTCTGGAACCAGACACACTAGATTCTGATCTCGGGTCTGCCATATAGCACCTGTGTGACCTTGGGTGAGTTGAGAGTCTGTCTGAGCCTGTTTTGTCACCAGTAAAATGGAAATGTTGCCAGACACTTCCTAACTAGCATTCATGCAGTTGAGACAGAGAAGGTAAAGCACTGGCCAGTCCTCAGGACACTGGTGCAGTATTATTTCACTGAGTCAGTGGGACTCTGAGGAACCCTGGGCATGGCTATGGTGGGAGGGGTCTCTGGGAGCCTGGTGCCTTCACCTCTGCCTGGCTTCTCTCAGCCTGTGTACAAACCCAGCTCTTCCTGCCTCTCCAGGAATTAGGCCTCCAGTTGGGGAGAGAGTGGAGGAAGTGGGTTCACAGAGGTTAAACAACTGCCTGAGTCCCGGGCACTTTGCAGCAAAGTCAGGTATCTTGCCAGGCTTCCTTGTGCCAGTCCTAGGCCCTCACAACAGCTGGCAAGATCTGAATGCCACCTGTATCCATACACCCTCGTGATTGGGACCTCCAGGGCAAAGATCAGGTGGGAGAGTCAGGGTAAGGGAGTTGGCTGGCTTAGACTGGTTCATGGGGGTCATAGGTATCGAAGGGCAGAGCAACTGCACTAGCTTGGGAGACTTAAGTTGGGGCAGTCCCCCCCCCCCAAATGTGCTTCCTCTGTGGGGCCCAATCCTGGTATCTTGTCAGCAATGAAGTTAGGGCATGCTCGGCCCCTAGAGAAGCCAGGAGTGTGTCACAAGCAGAGTCTCCTGTCCCCAGCCCTGGACCTGTGAGCTTTGAGATCTTGCACTACCTTCCCTGCTTCACATCTCTCCAGCCCGGGGCTCTCTATTCTATGCCAGGACTGTCAAGCTTCCCCTTAGAATGTATAGCCTTAGTGCAAAGAGACATTTTTAGCTGCAGCACTCGCAGAAGGGATGCTGAGGTGGTGACACTGGCTTTTCTGTTCCTTCCCTAGCCCTTGAAGAAGCTTCTTAAACTCTGCACTGCTGACACTGTCAGGATATTAGAGTTGATTTTTCAAAAAAAATTTGCAGTTTTTGAGTCTTGTTCCACACCCTTTGCAACACCTCTGCCAAGCATGAATGTTATCACTGAGCGGCCAGAGGCTATTCACCTTGGCTTGGCCCCCTCCTCAGCTGGGCACTGCAGGGCTGGGCTCTGGCCTGCAGACTCCCTGGCCCAGACTTCCTAGGACACTCTCCCTCCCATCTGTACACCTTTACAGCACAGCCCATGCAGTGCCCTTGGACTCAGCAGGAGGTCAGTGACCTCAGCTCTGTTGAGCTCCCCTTCCATTCCCCATCACTTGTTTGCAGTCCTCCCATGATAGTTTGTGAGCTTCCATTACTTCTCACTGTGACTTTAGGAACTTGCTCCTACAGATGGAATTCCAAGCCAGATTAGGAAACTGCTACCTGAAAGTTGCCCACCAGCTTCCTAAAGAGCTAATGGTAGTGTCAGGCTAGGCTTCCAGTGGAGAAAGCTGTTCCTACTCCAGGCCAAATGTGGCCTAAGTCCCTAGCTGCAGAGGTTTCATCATCCAGCACAAACACTGTCCACACAGGCTGAGACCTGAGTGGGGTAGGGGCTGAGTTCTGTGACCAGGTCTATGACCAAGAGTCAGGAAATGCTTCCCTCAACATGCTAGTCATGGTCACAGCCAGATGTGGGGCAGGACAGGAACTGCTCCCCCCACCTCCCTGCCCCTGCACCTCCCAGCCCTCCTCCTGCGGGCTCTGTGGGCCTTGGCACCACTGACATTTGCAACTGGTTAACTCTTTGTTGTGAGGACTGTCTTCAACCTTAGTGTTCTGTTCACTCCAAGCCAGCAGTACTCTCTTCTTCCTGTTCCTACAAGCAAAATTACCTGCAGATACTAGGAAATGTCCCCATCAAGGGGGGAAGGTGATGAACTTGCCATAGTAACAACCAGTGCTCTAGATTCTGGGGTTTGGCCCTAAAGTTCCCATTCTGACTCCTTCTCCTTCTTCTCTACTCTCTTTTTTTTTTTTTTTTTTTACTTTTTGAGACAGAGTCTCACTGTGCAGTTCAGGCTGGTCTTGAGCTTATTTTGTAGGCCAGGCTGACCCTGAACTTGCAAGGATCCTCCTGCCTCAGCCTCCTGAGTCCTGGGATTATGGGCATATACCACCATGCCCAGCTTTCATTCTCCTCTACTCTTGAGCCCTGACCACAGTCATTTCTGTTTGGGCTCCACATCTTCCAAACCCCCACTTGAGTCTTCCTTGCAGCAGAACCTATTTCTTATTACAACTGCAAACATTACCTGCCTCTTCTTCCCATTCACTGTTTCAGTTCCCTGATCATAAGCCGTGTCCCTTTACTAGACCCACCATATAATCCTACCCCATTGCCTTCAATGATGCCCACAGGAAGCGGGAGTGTGTGGGTAACAAAAACATGTAGCCTGGTCACCTGGATTCATACCCTAGCTCCACCTCTTTACAGCTGTGTGACCTGGAGGAACTTTGCGGTGTGTCTCAGTTTACTCCACCTGGGGCTGGGCAGACAAGGCAGAAGTTTGCATGGTGCTGTGGCCTAAGCAGTCGCTCATAGAGGAGAAGCCTGAGACTAGAAGGAAACACTTTGCTCAAAGCCAGTACTAAGTCTGTAACACAGCCAGCATCATGGTATGACCTTCTGCAAAAGAAGCAGGAAGTGGAACAGGAGCATGAGAACCCTAAGGCTCACAGAGGACAGCACCTTGTCCAGTGCTGTAGGTGGCTGAGTCAAGACTGGCACACAGGCCCTGGTTTGGTTGCTGTCCCTGCAGCTGATCAAGACTGCTGAGCTGGACCCCTCCGGGAACTACATTGCCGGCTTCCACCCCCATGGAGTCTTGGCGGTTGGAGCCTTCCTCAATCTGTGCACTGAGAGCACAGGCTTCTCCTTGCTCTTCCCTGGCATCCAACCCCATCTGATGATGCTGAATTTGTGGTTCCGTATCCCCTTCCTCCGAGATTGCATCTTGATCTCTGGTGAGTTCTCTACCTAGGGAAGATCAGGAAGATGAGGCTGGTGGTATAAGTCAGAGGGCATCTTAGGGAGGGGTTCCAACAGTTCTACAGTTCTGAAAGCATATGCAGGAGGCCAGACCCAAAGAACTGCCTACAGCACTGTACTGGGAGGACCCTTGCCTTAAGTGGAGTGCCATGGAGGACCCCAGACCTGTTATACTAGTGGTGGTTTCCTTTTTGAGCCACCCTAGCCTCACAATCTTGCTCTCTCAACCCACATTCTTCTCCCCCCAGGATTGGTCACCGCAGACAAGGAGAGTGCCGCTCACATTCTGAACAAGAAGGGCAATGGGAACCTGGCGGCCATCGTCATTGGGGGAACTAAAGAGATACTGGATGCCAGGCCTGGATCTTACAGGCTGGTACTGCGGAAACGCAAGGGCTTCATCAGACTTGCCTTGACCCACGGGTACGGGACCTCAGGGGATAGCACTTCGGGTTCAGTAGGAGGTTGACAAGAATAACATTTTGGTAGGAAAAGAGCAAAGACTAACAGATATTCTAATATGGCCGCGAGATTTCTGGTCCATCCACAGTGAAGACTATATTTTGGTGTTTCACTCCCAAATGCCTTGAGAAGTTTCCATGAGGAAGTCTCAGAGATCAATGGGCCTTATTAAAAGTGGATGTGTTCCCCAAAACTGACAGAAGAGCAGAGACTAACAGGATCTGTAAAAATGGGGTTGAAACATGTTACCCTGCTTTGAAGTGAAGCATATTTGAGGAGCATGTGCCAGCTAGTATGGGAGAGATTTTTCTAGGAGCAAAATTCAGATGTTTTATCCCAGCGAGTACTATCTACAGCACTCTGGTGTACTGTCATGATGCAAGTAGGAAGCTGTAGGCCTGAGAGGACACACCAGTTCAGAGGTGGGTTGTGGCAGGTCTGGTAGCTGATCCAGACCTCCTGGTTCCAGCACAGGCTTCTGTCATTTGTTCCAACTCCTGGTAATGAGTCCCTGTGGGAAGCTGGGTTATCTTGCAGTTTATGCCATCTCTTGTTCTCTCTGTACATAGGGCATCCCTGGTGCCAATCTTCTCCTTCGGGGAAAATGACCTATTTCACCAGGTTCAGAACTTTTCTGGCTCCTGGTTGCGCCGTGTCCAGAATCAGCTGCAGGAGATCATCGGCCTCTCCTTCCCACTTTTGTATGGCCGTGGTATCTTCCAGTCGAGCTTTGGTTTGATGCCCTACCGTCATCCTGTCACTACCATAGGTAAGCCAAGGTCTGGCAGTGCAGGACACAGGGACAGGACACTGGGATGTGTGCTGCAAGGGGACATGGAGATGGGCCAGATACACTCCTATCCTTTCGGGGATCACAGTCTAGATGGGCAGCGCGCGCATGCATGCACACACACACACACACACACAAACACACAGACACACACAGACACACTAACACATAGCAGAAAATTCTAAATAAGGAAGTCTGGGTAATAGCTATTACAAACAGAGAGAACCATAATCACTACTGATTGCTGAGCCCCTGTCACGGGCCAGGGACCACACTCCTCACCTACGTGCAGCAGCTCAGCTTATTCTAAGAATCTTGAAGCAGGATTTCATTCATTATTATTCCATTATTGTTATTACTTTCTGCACAATTATTTCATTGATAATGAACTGAGGCTCAGAGAATTATGTGGCTTCCAAAAGATCACACTCCCTTTGAGTAACAAAGTTCAAGTTTGAATCAGGATCTGACTTCTTATCATGCCAGAGAAGGAAGATTTAAATCTCAACCTGTGGACCTAATGAGGCATATTTGGAGCAACTAGATACCAGGGAAGGCACTGTATGTATATCATCATTGTGTGCAAAGTTGAAATTCATAGGTTCTGAATTAAAGCCTGAGGGATCTTCCAGTACTGAATGAACATGAACTTAAATGCGTAAAGTTATTGTCATTTTTTTCATCTAACCTATCTTTTTCACTAACCTATTTTGGTTTCTTCTTGGATTCTAATTAAGTTTCTCTGACAAATTTCTCAGAGAAAAGGTCCTTTTGCCTCCTCTGCACCCATACATTTATTAGTTAGTTGATCCCAAATTTGGGAATCCCCTACATCATGATGTTCCCCAAATCACGTGACCATAGTTTCATGAATTTTAATCCTGCTGCTGCCTCCAGTCATGTTTCCAAGGAAGAACTTGGGAGCTACCTTCCTAGCCAGGGTTAGCCAGAAGAAGATAGGTCTTTCTGATTCCCAGTGTGATGGGTGGGAGTCTGCCGGTCAGGATGCAGGGGAATAGGGGAAGAAGAGCCACTCTGGTCTCTGATCAGAGAGACTCTTAGAAATCATCCACATCCGCATCCTAGAAATACAGTCACAGGCCATTGTGGACCCCCAGAATCAGAGAACCTGGAGGCCAGCATAACACCTGCAGGGTTTAAAGCCTGCTATAACTTCTTGCTTATGTGACCTGAAACAGGGCACTTATCTTCTCTGACCCTCATTGCCTCACCAGTAAAGCAGGAATAGTGACAGGTTTTGTTCCCATAGGATTTTAGGTGAGAACACATGTTGAGCACACAGCATACTCTCTGACACACTGGAAGATGGCCGTTGATAAATCATTCAGAAACTTAGGGTTGCCCCAGTGCCTCAGGACCTGTTATCTGAAATTAGGGTGGGAAGGGATAGCAGTAAGAGCACTTTCCTGCCAAATGGCCTGCTCTAAGGGCTCCTGTGACCCCTGTGGTTCCCACTCTGGACCCCTGCCCACCCCTATGCCTTGCAGTGGGGAAGCCCATCAAGGTGCAGAAGACCCTGCAGCCTACAGAAGAGGAGGTGAACCGGTTACACCAGCACTACATGGAGGAGCTGTGCAGCCTCTTTGAGGCCCACAAACTCAAGTTCAACATTCCTGCTGATCAACACTTGGAGTTCTGCTGAGTGCTTCCAGCCAGAGGAAGGATTACCACAAGGTCAGGGCCAGCTGTTCAGTGCCCAGGAGGTGGAGCACAGACTTCTGCCAATCCAACCACATCTGTAGGCATGAAGGAGAAGACCAGACTTTGCCAGCTCTGGTTTGCAGCCTTGCACCAAAGGGGACTGCAAGTTTCCCCCAGTGCAGTGTGAAAGGATTGAGAAGGGATGATTTGTGAGACCTCCATCCTCTGTTGTCATGTCACTCCAAGAGTATAAAAAGTATAAAAGCAGAAGAAGAGAGCAATGACGTTTTTCTTCTTCTACCTCTAAATGATAACACAAAGGAAACCACCAGCCAGTCCTTTCCCTTTCATGGCCCCTTATCAGCACCCTGAATGGCCCTTCCTTCCCAGAGTGGAAAGTGAGGGAGAAACCAGTAAGTCCTGCACTCATCCTGAACACCTTTGTGTTTCTGGGTCCTCTGAGCTCTGAAGGGGATGTGACTTTAGTCAGTCTTCATTCTCCTCACCTCAGTTTACCCAACTGACCTAGGTGAACTCAGAGTCTCACTTCTGACATCACACAAGCCAAGGGCTCCATGAGGGCACCTCTTACTCATCTTTTGTGACTCCAACTCCAGATCTGGGCCAGATCTGGGCACAACTGGAAGGCTCTATAAATTATAGCTCAATGAATGAAAGGATTCAGTTTTAGTTCCCTTTTTTCTTACACATCTCAACAAAATGTGGCTGGCCGAAACCTGAGATCTGACCACCAGCCTGACACTGTGACACTGAATCATCTTCCCCCAGGCTGGTTCAGAGTGGCCTGAGGAGATCATGTTGATCTGTTCTTTCCTGATACATCACCCCAAGATTTAGGCCAGCACAGAGAACAAGAAACGAGTGTGAGGTGTGTATGATGTGCATGACACTCTGATGAGAAGAGCTCTGGATTCCTGAGTCAGGAACATGTGTGAGTGGTGCAGGGTGAGGCTGGCTGCTTACCTCACCCTCCCTTTGTCTTGGTCACTTTTTTATTGCTGGAACAAAATACCCGATACCCACAACTTCAAGGAGGAAAGGTTTATTTTGGCTCATAATTTGTAAAGGTTTCAGTTTATAGTTAGCTGGCTCCAAAAGCTAGGCAGCAATGACTCAGGGGACCTATTTGTGCCATGGTAGAGAGGAAGCAAAGAGAGTCAAAGAAAGAGCCAGGGCACCCCCCCCCCGGTGACCCACCTCTTCCAAGCAGACCCCACCTCCTAAGAGCAAAGCAGCTGTAAGACTCATAATCCATCTATCTTCTAAAACCTTCACCTATGTATTCATGAGGCTCTTGGAGGACTTCTCTAAGACAGAAACCATTAACACCCCTAGTGTACACAATCTGTTGTACAGATTGTGCCTACAACATGGGAGAGGAGCATTTGGAAAAATACTAATTTGGGTTCAGATATTGCCTTCACTTATTTTCAGTGATCCTAAGCAAGTCATATTGCCTTTACTTCAACTTTGTCATCTGATAATAAGGCTCAAAAGTGTAGTGAGCAGGTCTGGTGTCACTCCATGTACTTTACAGAATACTGCACAGTGTAATAAATTAGGAGTTGGGTGACATCCATGCATAATGTTCATGGAGGCACCTAGTGTTGTGCTAAGGGTCACAGGAGGAACAGGAAGAAAGAACAGCAGAGTTCTAAGAACAGAGCAATGATGTTCTATCCAGGGGAAGTAGTCATGGGCAAGGCTGTGAAGGAAGGTCAAGGGTACCAAGGAAATGAATAGTGGTCCGTGGTAGTTATCTACTGCAAGGCATCACTACTTTCAAAGTGACTGGCTGAAGACAGGAAAGATAATTACTTCTCACCACTCTGAGGCTTCTTCAAGGGTAGAGCATCTTCTCAGGTCTTGCTTGAGCAGCTACATTTGGCCAGTGTTTCAGTGAAGTCTTAGTCCTCTAGAGAGCACAGGATCTCTCTTTGCTTATGGGGAACACTGGTCCTGTCTCTATCTTGACAGTTCTTTCAGCATTCAATATTGGCTGGATTCCAGAAGAATGAGAGCCAAGCCTGTAAAGAATCAAGTCCTAAGTCACATAACTTAAGACACCATCACTTCTGCCTTCATTCATTTAAAAAAGTGAGTCAAGAGGCCAGGGCTGAGAGATAGACTCTTGTGAATCAGAGGAGCACCTATGTCATCTTACAAATGGTGGGAATACTTGGAGGGTACTGGTGAATACTTTATAAACAATATCAAAAGTATAAAACTGAAAACCTGGACAACATATACACTTACTCTAGCGTTCCCTGCATGGCTATGGTAAAGCTCATACAAACCATGGGCCCAAGTTCTGCCTCCCATGTCTGCTTTGTCTCCAGGTCTCAGTGCTCAGGTGTGGCAGTTAGGAGTTTCTGATGGATGGGCTTTGGGACAGAGCACTTCTGTGTGTCCCTGAATGAATTCTGGGGACATGGCTTTGGGGTCTGTGTCTGATTCATTGTTCCTTCTTCTCTGACACTCTTCCCCTACCCTGTTTCCTGGCCGCCATGAACTAAGCAGCTTTGATTTACTATTCCTTTCTTCCATAGTGTCTGCCTTGGGGCCAGCTGTCCTTGGACTGAAACTGTGAGCACATTAATCTTCTCCTCTACCTTGTGGTGTTAGGTATTGTGTCTCAGTGATGAGAGAGCCAAGGAATACACCTATCCATCCCCATGTGCCATGGTGAGCTGCTTAAAACATCTACCCATGTCCTTCTCCTGCTCCGAATCCTTCTGCTTCTAGGCTAAGGTTTGTATCCAGCACTCCCCATAGGATAATATGAGGGTGGCATAATAAAGAGACAGCTTCCTGAGCTCAGTGCTCTCTTCCCCTGGATATGAAAGTCTAAGTGAGGCATCAGGCATATGGACCAAAAGAGAGTCTTACCAGGGGCTGTCCTTAGCCCAGCCAACTTCCGGTGACCCTGCAACGGAAGGAGCAGGATGTGCATGCTCCAACCTGTGCAGTCCACATTGCAGGAAGAAATTATGTCTGTGGCGAAAGGTAGCTCCTAGCACAAAGAACAGGGCAGAGAATGGTCCTGAGGCATCAGAACCAGATAGAAGAGGTCCAACACTAGGTCCAAGCTGGAAACCTACCATTTACTACTCACTCCAGAGAGACACTCTGTGTCTCTCTTCCTCACTCCTCTTCCTCTGTCCATTGCTTTTGACTTGTGACAAAGTAGAATATCATAGTAGGGTTAAGGTTAGGTTTTATTTTGCTCTTTCTAACTGAATGGACAAATATTGTGAATATAACAAGATATACTACGGTACCTATTACTGTTATGCCGATATCCTGCTGTGAAGTTCTGTACCAGTTTCACTGCATTGTCTTGATTAACTTTGTTCTGTTGTATTTTACAACCTCCAAAATAAAAAAAAAAAGAAAGAAAGAGGAAGGGGTTGAGGTTACACATTCCCCTTCAAGAGCACAGTGCCACAGGCCTAAAGACCTCCGCCTGAGCCCTATTTCTTAAAGGTTATATCACCCCCTGTGTTATCATCCTGGGGACAAGCCTTTAATATTCATACTATTGGGGAGACACTTACTGAAATCATAGTACCATATATTCAGAAAAATCACAAATGCAAAAGAATCACACATTTTCAGAGTCAAAATATTCATGGTGCTACTTCTCTGGTCAAGGACAGAACATCACCAGTTCTTTTCACGCTGCTGCCAGCCTCAGATCCTCCCTGCAGTTCATTGCTATCCTCATTTGCTTTTAAACTTTATAAAAAGTGAGTCATATAGTACATGCCATTTTGAGACTGTTTAATTTGGCTTAAAATTATGCTTTTGAGAGTCACCCACATTACATGGAACTGTAGTGTCGTTCTCCTCTCAGTATAGTATTTCATGGAGGGGATATCCTACCATTTATCCATTTTATTCCAGAGAAGGGTTTGTACTTTTTTGTTTTGTTTTGTTTTTAAAGAGGATAAAATGAAGGAAAACCAAATGAAACAAAACCAATCAAAACAAAGCAGTGCAAGTGACACAGGACTTCAAAGCAATACAAAATCCACAATAGGTACCATAATGCCTCTTGCTGTCTCCAATATAGCTGCTGATACCTTCAGACATAATTAAAATCAAACAGAACAAAACAGAATAGAACCAGCAAAAACAAAACAATGAATGCAATAAAGGACTTCAAACCAAGACAACAGTAAATCCAAAATGGCTTCCACAATATATCTTGCTTTCATTGAAATAGCTGCTTATGTCATTTGATATTATAAAATCAAATAAAACAAAACAGAATAAAACCCAACCCAACAAAACAACACAGGACTTCAAAACAAGGTAGTAGGGAATGCAATATGGAATTAATAATGGCTGCTATGGCTGTGGCTTTCGTTGTTTGCATAGGCCATGATTGGCTGCCCCACCACGCCACACTGTTTGGATCCAACTGAGTATGGACTGAAACTTCCAAGGACTAGGCAGATCATCAAAAGGAGATGTGGAATTTAAAAATTAATCTTGAGGGGAAGCTGGGAAGATGGTGGATTAATAAGCAGTAAAAGAAAATGCCTTTCTAAGGCAAAAAGCTCTTCTGATGCTGGAATATGGTAGCCTGGAGAAGACCAGATGGAAGGAGTTGGATCCTCTCAACTCAGGACGAAACTAAAGTAGACAAAAGAAAGAAAAAACAATAGAAAAGAAAAATGTGAACAGAAGCCATACACGCTCTCACTGGAGCCAGTCTTTCTGTGTTCCAAATGTCACTGGAATCCAAAACGCATGGTCGGTGGGATTGGGGATTGGCAAGCCTGAATGCCTATGCAGGAGCAGGAGAGGAGTGTTGGACCAGAGATTTGCCTTGGCTCGAGGTGTGCGTGGTGAACTTAGTCCTCCCTCACAAGTGGTTGATTGTCTGGGTGACATTTTGGAGTTGGGTGGCATAAAGCCTGGAAGCAGAAGTGCAGCTGGCTTCATTCATCCAGTCCTACTGCAGAGCAGATTGGTGAGAATTGCTTGGAGTGATGTGGGAAGCCCTGTAATTGGCTGCCCCCTTATATCTGCAGGCCACAACACCTTAACTCCCTCTGGGAGTTAAGTTTGGTAGTTAAGCAGCTCCTTGCCTAGCCTGTTTGGCTCATGAAGGGATTATGCTAATCATACCACCTTATGAGCGAGCGCAGGAAATTTGAAAATTTGAATGAACCTGTAACCCTCGGTCTTGCCACTGTTGCTAAGTTACCTGCTGACATCTCAGAACCCAATTCCTTCTTCACTCAATGCCCTATATATTTGTTACTCTTTCCTTGAATAAATGAGACTTCATCAGACTTCTGTCTTGTCTCCATTCTTTATATCTCTTGTCCCCTTTCATCCCCACTCCCCTCTAGGGTCTCCATGGAATTTTGCACAGGCTGGGACAGACTGAGTCCGCCCCTATGAGCAATCCAATAGCCAAGGATGAAGTTTTCTTAAAGCTATCGCAAACCAGCCCCATCCATGTGGCACACACTAATGTGGTTTAGATCCCCAGTGGTTGATGAGCTCTAAAGGGAGGGCCAGGCTGCCCCAGCTCTGCTTATATTCTAGTGGTCACCAGCAGATTGGGGAGGGCAGCAACCCCTAACCAGCACACTCCAGAGTAATTGTAAACAATACAGGAGTATTGGTTAGGGTGCTAGGGA